AGCATCTGTTCTTTTGAATCCAATCATTCACAAAAATAGCTAAGAAATTAGAGTCATTGCAATGGCGTCATCAGCAGCTTGATTTTTAAGAAAATTGTAAAATTGTATAACTTTTGCACTCAATTTGAGTGTCTATAAATTTAATAGTCAGAGTCGTTGTGAATCTGATGGTTTCAACCTAACTAGGATAATTTAGCACAATGACGAAGGAGATCTTTGGGTCGCAGAAGTCTTGTGTCTTTTAGAATTGCAGCTCAGTAGTGACGGGTTTCAAAGATTTTCTAGAATAGGCACTGTCATCGTAATAGGAAAAATACCAGTGTCAGTGAAATAACATTTCTCGTCTTATGCGTCTGATATCTGCTCTTCTATTCTTTTTGACAAAGATCAGACATAACGTAGCCATTGGCTTTTTTTTTCAAAAAAATTTCCATCAAAAGATTGATAGTTTGCGTTGGCATTCAATCGACATTTGAATAACCTTCAATTCTATCCGTATAGAACAAGAATTATAATCAAAGGCGATATTATCTTGTTTCATTTTTGCTGAATTATTGAGACATTTATCACAGATAGAAATCAATTTTTTTCTCTATCTATTTCGATTACAAAACGTCTATTATAGTAGATTTCGTTATCATTCGGTTAAAAAATTGCACTACAAAGAGTAATAGTGAATTTTTTAAGACGATTTTAGTGTTAAAGGACACAAGAAAGAAATATTTTCTCAATAAGATTCTCTTCGATTACTCTTTTGATTATTGTTTATGTCATGCGTCGCAGCGAATGTAATTATTAACTGTGTGGTGCACTTGAACGTCACAATAGTGCATCACTAAAAAACAGTTATAAACCTGATTTTCATTTTATTTGATATTAAAATCATAGTTACTTTCCAACTTTGACAAGAGTAAGCTATTGTAAGCATCACATAATAACTTCTTCAATGTTATTTTTTTTTCTTTTCTTTTTTCTTATATTGATACAGAACGACAACTGAATAGTTTTCAGTGCTTACATGCCTCGTTAAGAAGAGAGAAAGAAGAATAAATTACTTCCTTAAAAATTCGATGTGCTCAGTGTGTGGTTAACATCATTTGGTTTATTCCCTTTCATCATGGTTGTTATTAACATCAAGGTGCATGACATATATGGGTTAATTGCAACTTTATTGTAACGTTTCATGAAAAAATGATCGGAGAATTTTTTTTCGATTTTCAAATAGATGAGTAGTGCATTGTACAGTACCATATGAGAGAAGAATATAATTGACGTTTCCAGACTACCACTATGAGTTTGGCTATGATACACGAAAACCACGCAAAAAAACACATGAAATTTGCTAAAATATGGTTGTTCTGCCTCGATATATTAAACTTTCAACATACGGAAGTTTTGTCAAATATATTAAAAAATTTTTTAAATTATGGCGATACATATATGTATTATGCGGAACCACCTTTAGTTTCACTTGATTAGAGCACTTTATCCGATTAATAATCTCGCGTGACACTTTCCTCATAGAAAATCTCGCGTGACATATTGACGATATTTTCCCTCTTTTGCACGATAGACAGGTCTTCGGACTCTGATATTTTAACCAGTAATTAGGCACAATGAGTGAATAAAATGATCAAAGTTCGGTCGCATTCTGGCATAGTATAAGAAAACTATGCCCCAAACAAATTGAAAAATCTCGCGTGACATTTTGTGTGACAATCGAATTTTTAAATTGAATTTTATATTTCTTCTAAAGAAGAAGTAGGACAATTATCTCATCGTCTTTAGTGGTTTTATATAGCACCAACTGTCTTTTATTTAACAGCAGCCCGATCAATTTCAGACGGGTCATTGCGTAGCAAAATGAATTTTAATCTCGCGTGACAGAAAATCGAGGGTTGTCTGTACTCATGATATTTCGAGAAAACTATAATAAAAAAAACGTCGAACGAACCAATGAGTTTTATATTCGAGAAGTGCAGACTGTATATTATAAATATCATCAACTGTCAAAATTCAAATAAGAAGTAACGAATTGGCCATACGACTTTTCGTCCAATAAACGGCAGCAGATATCGAAATTTTGAGCCTTGTACAGCCAATATCTCAGGACTTGTTCAAGTTAGCCTCGTGATTTTTTGTGTGGTAGTGGGGACTTCTTAGTAGAACATATGGTGAAAAAATCGCAAGGATTGGTTGAATAGAACTCGAGATATTGAAATTTTATGTTCAAGAATACAACGGTACAATAAAGTTGCAATTAACCCATATATATTTTTTCTACGAATCATCGTATTTTGTCAACTATCTCGATGGAATGTACAAGAAAGTTTTTCACAAATACTATCCTAAGAAAAAGCAAAAATAAACGCAGAACTTAAGGTGAAATTTAACCCTCTACATCACTCAATTCTGAAAACTTATGTTATTAGAGTTATCTGAATCTTTTTGCTCATGTTTTCTAAGCTTGGCCAGCTGTCAATGAGAATCCTTATTCACAATTCGTATACAGTAAATATGTGATTTTATTCGTAAGCTGAACAGTATTTTAGATTAAATTCAGATATCATCCATGTATCTTATCTTTGTGTGCATTCACATCGCTCTCAGAAGCGATGTTTACTTATTGAGCAATCTTCATCGTATGACTGAATGAATGAATGTGCTGAACGAATTTATTTTCCCTTTTGTCCTTCTCTAACTGTAGGGTGTGGGTGTCATTATACGTGTTCTCTGCATCTATACCCGCACCCACATCCACACCCACACCCTAAGATCTTATGAATCTGTACCCAAGATCTAATTCAAGATCTTGATACAAGATAATACGATTATCTTGTACCTAAGTTTTGAAGATCTTTCACTTTTCTGTACCTAAGATCTTGCTTACAAGATGTTCGACTAGGGTACATAATGAAACGTACATTAAACTCATCGTTGCACATCGCACATTATACCAATATATGTTGTCTCTAAATTTAACACTTGGAAAGTTTTATGATCTCATAAATGATAAATTCACTTTGGGAATGTGCTTCACACCGAGTTGGCACCATGGGTTTAGTCCGTCTGCCATTTAGTTCTAAATGCAAATAATTTGGAAAGGATAATATTTCAGAAAGCGTCTATCAACTATAAAAATTGCCTTAATTTAGTTGCACTCGTTTAGATTGTATTTTTTTTAAATAAATTATTTTAAAATATATAAGACTATACCATAAATTTATGAAAGTCAGAGTTTGCGAGTTCCACATTTTAGCAGCGGAAGACGCTGCACTGGTAAGCTTTTTCTTAAAGAAAAAAAAGGATCAATATTTGTTATCATACAATGAAAAGCATTTCGAAATAATCAATTAGTGAGAGAAAGTAAATAAACTTGTCAAAATTCAAAAAAAAACGCTGACATTTAGATTAAAGTACTGCAATTCGGAAGTCGAGTGTGCTTGTGAAAAGTAACAATGTTTGGAGACGTAAGCTTTCTGTTTAACATCATAGTTGATAAAAAATTTGAAAATATGTTTTTCATGTTACAGTTTAATAACGACATTCTTGATCATACTGTTGATTGGTCATTGTGATAAACTGTCAGCGATCTGTTAGAATAAAATAACTCACGAATCAGGTACAGGTACCGGTATGAAAAAATGTTTCCGTACAGTACTGTAATTTTGATCTGTACTTGATAAGAAAATTATTCATAGTGAATGTGCTAAGTTCAAGACATCCATATAATAGATCAGCTGTCAGCAGGATACCCGACTGAGAATATTCTCAGTTCATAGATATTTGCCAGAAACATGTACAGTTTTTTTAGCATTCTATGAGAAATTTTTCAACAAGTTACTAGATTAAACATATAGATTCTAAGTTTAAATATGACCTTATAGTGTAGAAAAGATTATTAGCATCTGAATATAAGATTCATTTTATCTTTAATCAAATATTAACTTTTTTGAAAGTTATTGATCGATTTAATAACAGTAATTAATTGTAATCAATTATGTCGAGTATGCCTTTTATTAAGATGATAAACATTAAAATCTTACTGCTATTAACAGAAAATGTTTTTTTATTGATGTATTGGTTTTTCGTACAGCAGCTGATTTAAAATTCTTATGAACAACTTAGTCATCAGTTAGATTCATGTCCATTTGATAAATTCAGTTCCATATTTATGAAAATTCTTGCTATGAATCGACTTCGAAGTAGGCAATTCAAAAATTAGCTTTTATTACTTACTCGAGGATTCATCAAACTTATGAATTCAAAAATGAACTTCGTGAACAATTTAATGAATGATATATTTGCTAAAATACTGTTTTTTTGACAAACTTCGAACTAAATTTAATCGATATTGGCTGTTCCAACAATCTATTAATCAAGATAATCAATAATAAAATAAAAATCTCAATAATGAAAAGACCAAAAAAACTTTCAGAACTTTTTATAAAACATAATACACGAGCTTTTCAACAAAACACTCAATATCAAAGTCAAAAATATATAAATTTAAATGTATCAAACAACTGTGTAATGAATATAAGAATCAAATCAAATTATTTAACAGAGAAAAAAGATTGTATCATGTGTTAAGGATCGAAGAACAGACTCTGCATCATTGGCAACTCGTGATAGATGTAGTATACTTTGAAAAATCTGATATTTTCCCAACTGATAGCAAACTTAGAGTAGGTCATAAAACTGTATTTTATGGAACTCACCTATATTTTCAAACAAAACAGTGAGTGTAAGTTTAAATCAAAATTTTGCGATTCTCCCCAAGGTACTAGCAACGCGGTACAGAAAAACGAAGGCCAAATATTGAAAGTGCTTTTAAAAAAGCCATTCTTCGGAGCGTTCTGATTAAATGATGACAGTTTATCAATAAATGAATACAATAAAATTACAACAACTAGTGGTATCAAATAAAAATTTTGTTTCACAAATTGATTGAGAAATTCATTTTGTAGTTTACAGGTTTTACATTCTTCAATTATTTTATGAAATATTTACATAAGATAACAATAGATTTATCTTTACGGTTCGTATTACTTCGTAACAATCAGTCACGATTTTAAATACACTCATGAGCATGGACAATGAATATATATATATATTTATTTATTTATTTATTTATTTCTCGAATATAAGAAAATATTTTCATGGTTTGAAATTTTAGTTTGTTTCACTACTAATGTTAATAAATTAAGTTGGGATGTCATTATAATGTTTGTTGTATTAGTTGTTAAGCGTATCGTTGAACGAATGACAATAGGTGCTGTTATCTATGTTGTTGTCACTATATTCATGCAGTCACTAGAAAAATTAATTACATGAATGTATATAATGTATCTGGAAACAATTGAAGAACTTACTTGTTAAATCACTTGAAAGTTCTGTTGTAGCTGAAATCGAAAGAAACTAAAGTATGAATATCTAGTTACAATCAGAAACAGGTTTGGATTTATTTTTAACAAAAATCTATAATACTCTTATTAAATCAAAACATTATAATTTAATTTCTGGCATTAAGTTTAATCATATTTTTGTTTACAAAAAGAATGTACTCCATTTTAAAACAAAAGTAGCAGTGCAACTGAAACATAAGTACGAATTAGAAAATTTTTCTTCTTACTTTCTGTAGTAACTGATTCTGTGGTAATAGTCGTAGTGGTGTCTGTAGTAGTCGTGGTAGTGTCTGTAGTGGTCGTGGTAGTGTCCGTAGTAGTCGTGGTAGTATCTGTTGTAGTCGTGGTAGTATCTGTAGTAGTCGTGGTAGTATCTGTAGTAGTCGTGGTAGTGTCTGTAGTGGTCGTAGTCGTGTCTGTTGTAGTCGTAGTAGTTGTAGTGGTCGTTGTAGTTGTCGAAGTGGTCGTCGTAGTGGTCTTAGTTGTCGTCGTGGCAGTCGTTTTAGTCGTTGTAGTGGTAGTCGTTTTAGTCGTTGTAGTGGTCGTCGTTGTGGTAGTTGTTGTAGTCGTCGTCGTGGTAGTTGTTGTGGTCGTCGTGGTGGTCGTCGTTGTAGTCGTCGTGGTTGCTGTAGTACTAGTAGATGTAGTTGTCGTAGTAGTCGATGTCGTTGTCACTAGATAAATGGAAATAATTAAAATTCTAGCGTATTTATGAATATCAAATCCGTAAAAATCCAACAGCGGATTTAGGTAGACGTAGGTATCCATAACGGTACTGCCACTGCTGCAATGGTATCAGTGGCGTGGTAGGACACCTTTTTCTTTTAAATCACCACAGCACCGGAGATGTTTCAAAAATACTATCGCCGCAGAAGTGGGTCAGCTTCTTTTTTTTAGAGAGATTGTGAAATAGCATGAATTTGCACCTGATTTGAATGCCTACAAGTCTAATAGTTAGAACAGTGGTGAGTTTGATAGATTAAATCTAACTGTACTAATTTAGTACACTGACGAAAGAGTTTTTCGAAAGATTTCTCGAAAAGCATTATGACAGCGGCAACTTTTTACATAGACCATCGCAACCCACCACTGGTAGATTTTGCAGCCATGATCAACATCTCTAATGAAAACATTATTAAACTATCTAGTATTCTGTCACTATCACATAATTAAAAAAAGTCAGATTTTTTTTTCACATCGGAAACATCTTGCTATTATAGAATAGTTTTATTTCGGATATGATTTTATACAAAAGTCAATCTGATGTTACCTTTGCTCTTATTGACAACCATAACAGTTAGTAAGGCAACCACTGCAATTAAACAAGCAGCAACTAATAGACCAATAATGATGAATATGCATGTCTTGAAATTTTCTTCTTCATCTTCAATGCCATTTTCAGATAAAGATGAGTCGTCAGATGATTTTTTTTTTGATGAATTCCATGTGTTTTCTCGTTGACTAAAATTTGATATTTGCGATATTCGTCCAAATGGTGAATATGATGGTGGATCAGGAGAACGAATTTCATCAATAACAGCAAATGATGGAACTACCGGTGAACTATGAGTTTTATGTGGAATAATATTACTATTTGATGTTCGTGAACTATTTGATGTAGGTTTTTTCTTTGAAACATAAAAAGCTTTAATAGGCCGTTTGCTTGACATTTTCAGTTGATCAATTGAGTATAATTTTTATAAATGAAAAGACTGCCTTTATTAATATTTCTCTTTCTCTCTCTCTTTTGTACAATATTACTTTTATTTTTTGTAAAAAACAAAAATAGCTATGAAAAAATTGTTTCTTTTTGTTGCAAGAAAATATTTTATCAACAGCATTTCAAAAAAAAAATATTGCATTTGATGTACTATATTGAAGAAAAAGAACTATTCGATTAAATAAATACTTGATCTATAAAAAAATCTTCAGTGTGTTTGCAATCACGCTTTTCATAAAGAAAATAATTTTATTTATCACCTTTTGATGTTTACTAGATAAACAATCAATGAGTTCTTTTCTAGTTTTTGAGAGTTCGATCATTCAATAAATCATCGCCTGATTTCAATGAAAAAATATAAGTGTAAGAATAAAAGAACACATCAAGGTGAAGTTATGACATTGACAACGTATGAAACAGAAGGTAAACTCGAGTATATGATGAATGTCCTCAATTTTAGTTTAAAACTATTAGTCAAACAAAAGTATTATATTAAAGTTATTTTATACAAATGATGAACTCATTCAAAATCTAATGTTACAGCTCTTAATCTATCAACAGAATATGCATACTCTAGGACGTAAAAGTAACAGATATAGCTGAAACCTACAGTCATAGTTCTGTAATTCAAAGGTTAACGAAGTTTCTAGTTTTTTATTATTGTTAAAAAGAATAATGTGCCAAATACAAATTTCGTATCAGATATATTTATTCCAAATGAATTTGAGGAAAAAGAAAAAATGACCATCGAACTGTATCATGTTCTATTCCCTTTTATTATGTTGATATAAAAAGAGAATGAAAAATGAATGCTTTTTGTAGGACTAAGTTGACCTTCTCCACTCGAAAACAAAAAGTAAAATTTCGTTGCAAAAATGGAAATTGAGATAAATGCATAGTTTAACCACTTACTATCTGATTACTCACATTCAACATAATTTATTGGTTGGCATTCGATTTTTCATCATGATCTTTAACACTTTCTATTAAATTTGCTCTAGCACAATGAGTTTTCCAGAAGCATGCATTTTGAGATGCACAAATGGAAGTAAAAAAAACAAGTTTGACAGATTTTAGTGCTCTGAAGATGCAAATATGCGCCATGACTTTGACTATCATGTGAAACTTATGTAATCACTTATAATGCATATTTTTTTCGATATATTGTTGTTCAACCAAACAACAGGAGTTGTCCACATTATCATTTTTTAAGTACCTATGTATATTAAACTGATGTGTTGAGCACCGAAAATGTTTATTGTGTAAAACCACTTTATTTTACGTATGAGTATCTTGACTTCTTTTTATTGTGTTTGACAATGGTTTTAGGATTAATCTTTATGTTAAGTTTCTCAAATGGAATATATTTCGAAGAAAGAATGCAAAAATGATTGAATTCGTACGTTGGTTCTGTAAATATTTGTTGATATTCTTTCAAACTAATACTTGATGAAAAAAATTCAACTCATTACATAAAAATTTTTAATTCTCAAATCTTCATGGCTAAAGAGTAGAGCATTTTTCTAAAAGTTTTAACAAAATTGATACGCTATATTATAGTAGCTTGTTTGTTAAAATTAAGCACATGTAAACTAAAATAATTGAGAAATGTACACTCTTTACATTGCAAATATAGAGTTAAAAATTTATCGCCTTTCTCTCACGACGAACATTCTTAGCAACAGCTCTCTTATTAAATACTTCTTCGTTCCACTTCTCCAGAATTAAGTAAAAGTATGCTGAGGTAATGTGTTGCAAAATAGATAGAATAAAACAATCAATCTATGATAAGCAACTTTTCTTTGCAATAATAAAACTCTTGACTATCTACTATGCTTGTTTTTGACAAATAATCGCTCGAAATGTTGGCAATTAATTTTGCATCGCAGGTTATCTGTTCAATTTATTTGAATAGTTTAAAAGTGTAAACTGAAAATAAAAGTTTTTATTATATGTATTTGAGAAGTTAATTTAAAAAAAAAAGTTAAGCAGTAACACCCGAAGGTTTTGGTGTGGATTTGAGATTGAAACCACCACCAGTAAAACGTGCTTGATCGCTAAAAAAGAAAACAAGATAAATTTAAAATTATTAAAGAAATTTTTATCGATTTACCTTGATCGATTTGGTTGAATAAGATCGGGTGGTGGTTGTTGTAATGTAATTCCATTGATGCTTGTTGAAAGTTGTTGCATTTGTGAGAGACGTTCTTTTTCTTTAGCCATGGCTTCTTTCTTTTTTTGAAGAAAATATTTTTGTCGTACTTCAGTTAATTGTTTATTAAGTTTATCAATTTCATATTTATATTCATCTATTTGACTTTCATACATATTAACTTCACTTGCTAATGATTTAAGTTGTTTTGTTTTAGCTTTCAATGTTTCTTGATATATAGATAATTGTTCGGCAACTTCTGGACCAGGTTGACGAGCTACAAAAAAAATACACAGTAAAATAGATCTATCTTGAATTATGGGTATCTTATATTTTTGACTCATACTGCAAAGTAGATGAGTGCACAGCCCTTGCGAATATAGTTGTGCCTTAATCGTTCTAGCTATTAAAGACGATTGCTAGAAATATTTCGAAATGAATGATCGATCTCACTCCACCATTAGTACATTTAATTATGATGGTAAAATATAAATTCATCTTGAACTTAAATTTTCGCAAAGTTAACTACGAAACAAATTAATATGAAAATGAACACTCTATAGGTATAGATATGTTCTGTTACATGTTGTCTAATAAATTTTTCAACTTTTTGTTGCTCTTAGGTAAGTGTTCATAAATGAAGTACTACTATTTTTCACAAGAGAAAAATCGATGAGAATAATTTTTTTCAGTTTTCGTTAAGTGTCATCATGTCGCCAGTCGAGAAAATTTAAAACTATGATCGTCACTATCATTCTTCGTACTCTCATCATCTTGATTTTTTAAGCACGATACACAACTCTGATGTAAAGAAGATCACTTATTTTTATCAATTTTTCATATACAAAACTTAAAATAATTAAATCAAATCATTTAAAACTCACCTAAAATACGTTTGAGTTCAGCATATAATTTTTCTTTTTCTTGTATTAATAATTCTTTTTGTACAACTTCTTCAGTTTTTTGTATTAAACGTTTTTGAAGTAATTGTATTTTTTGTATTAATTCATATGTTGATGGATCACTACCTTCTAATTTTCTCCAACGATGTACATTCATAGGATTTTCTAATTCTTCTTCTAATGCACGACAACGTGTACGTTCACGTAATAATTCACGTTGTACATGAAATACTTCACGTTTAAGATCATCTGTATTTGAAACTTTATCTTGTAATGTACCTTTTTCATGACGTAATTTTTTTAATTCTAATTTTAATATACGTAAATCTTCTAGACGAGCTTTATATTGAAGTTCGCCTTTATTTAATGTTGATTGTTGAATTTTAAGTTTTTCATAGAGAAGTGCAAGTTCATCATTACGACGAACAAGTTGTGTACCAAGAACATCACGTTCAGCAATGACCTAATCAAAACAAAAAAAAAAAAAAATTATTTTTATTATGAAATAAATACTTTTTATTTATTAACTTGTTGTAATTGTTTCATTTGTTTTTTACGTTCATCATTAGCTTCAGATAATTGTTTATTTAAACGTTCAAATTCTGATTGTTGATTTGCATAAGCTTCTTCTTTTTTAATGGCTTCTTTCTTTAATTGTTCAACATTTAACATTAATTGATCTTTATCTTTTTTAACTTTTTCATGTTCAGCTTGTGCACGTACTAATTCTTGTTCTTTACCTTGAATTTCTTCTTTTAATTGATCAATTTGATGATTCATAATTTTCAATTTACGTTTCATTTCACCAATTTCATCTTGAGATTCAATTAAATTTTTCGAATAAAGATTACGATCCGATCGAACAGCTTCATATAAATTTTGTTGTTGTTTTAATCGTGTTTCTAATTCAGCAATTTTTTTCTTTTGATCAAATAATTCAAGTTCTTTCTTTTTAACTTCTTCCATTAATGCAAGAACTTGATTTGTTAATTGACCAGCTTCAGTTATATAACTAATTTAAGTAAATTAAAACATTTAAAGTGAGAAATGAAATTTCTAGTTTATAAATCAAATCGACTCGATTACTTTACGGTATCTCTGAAGCTGTTCAACAGCAAATTCAATAGTCTAATATCTTTACTACAATTAATACTAGCTGTAACTTTGGACAGAAGGTCAGTATGATGCAAAGGTCTTCGTACACGCTGACTAATCACATACTATCTATCAGAGTAAGTACATAATCAATATGCTACTGAACGAAGATTCCAAGACAAACTGACTTGTCCAGCGTCATTTCATGACTGATGATACCAAGATTTGAATGTAGTATCTTGTGAATACTAATCAAAATACATAGTCATTCGGATACGGCGGCCTATAAATGAGATTTTAAGGAACAATATCTTATAAAAAGTTAGTATACTCCATAGTAATCTGACCTTTCAATGTTATTATAGACTATAATTTAAATGAGAAAACTGTTATTTACCGATCTCGTTCTTTTTCCATTTTAAGAATAATTTTTCTTTGTTTACTTGCTTCTTCTTTATAATTTGTAATATCTTGTTCTAAAGTTTTTTTTGATTGATCAAAACTTTTAACTTGATCAGTTTGTTTTTGATTATCGGAAATTAATTTTTGACATGTTTTATTTAATTGTTCACGTTCACGTGTTAATGAATCAATTTGTCTTCGATTTTCATCTTGAGTTTTTTTAAATCGATCAATTTCTTGTTCAAATGATGATATTGTTGAACGTAAACGTTCACGTTGTTGTTCAATTTCACCAATTTGATCTTCAACTTGTCGTAAACGTTTTTCAGATTGATCTTTTTTCTTTTGTTCTGTATCACGTTCTTTACGTAATTGTATAAGATCATCTTCTTTTTCTTT